CATCCCTCCTTAATTGAATGTAACTTAAAAATAGCAAATGAAAAATAAAAACCAATTTCTTAGAAAAAAGAATTATGTCTATGAGGTGGGAAATTTATTGTATCACTGGGAGTGAAGAAAATTTATTTTATTGCTTTATTATATTATATTTAAATTATACTAGAAAAATTAGGTTGTGTGAGTAAAATAGTAATTGTGTTCTAAATTGTTTAATAATAACTCTTATTTATATGACATCTGTGAACTCATTTTTTTTTTCTAATTTAAAATTTTCCAACAAACATTTAAATATTCCAAGTTGGGCTGTACAAAAACACTGAGAACCGCCAGTAACCGACGGCACCGACCGAAACCGGCGGAAAAATTCAGTACAATGTAAGCACTAACAAATTTTGGCCGGATAACCGAATCGAGAATGCAATCTCGGTTCGGCCCTCAATTATGCATTTTTTTAAGTCAATCGATGTCCGAAAACTGACACCCACCCTTAGTTATGCATTTTTCCCGGCGGGGCCAATCCTCTTGCCTTCCTTTTCTTTTCCAGCTGCAGCCCCATTATACCTTTAAGTTTCTTTTCTTTTCCTTTTTGTAAAAATTACACAATTTGAATCTTTTTTTAATGTTGAATTAAAATATAGCTGACGTTTACAAATATTACATGTATAGCTTATTTTTTGAAATACATTTATTGGCAACCCAGAAACGCCCATTTAATTGATTTTGTTTGACATTTCTTTTTTGGAGAAATTTTTGCTCCGCATGTTTATCTGTAACCAACTTCCCTATTTTTTTCTTAATTAATTTGCTAAAAAACTGATCCAACTAATTCATTGACTGACTATTTTTTGATTCTTAGAGACAACCAAGCGTTATATACATACATTATCTACAAGGAATATTGAATTTTGAATATACAAAATCTAAAAGCAGTTAAACTAATAATTATAAGCCCGTTTGATTTATGTGTTCAAGTCATGATTCTAATTTATTAGTGAGAATTTTATGAGAGAATAAATTTTTGAGTTTAAATTTTTTATGAGATGAAAAATATTATAATAAAATCAGAATGAGAGGTTTAAATATATCTCCCAAACACCCTTTATGTGATTTGTTGATGCAGATCTGGTGGAGTAGCTTTAGGAGAATCTGAAATTTAGATTTATTTAAAATTGTATCTGTATTAAATGAGCGTTTGCGATAAAAAAAAGTACTATTACTGTTTTTGCAAAGATTATGGAACCAATATATCGTGTGTATGTATGTGTGTGTGTGTGTGTATATATATATATATATATATATATATATGAATATATTAGTACTCAACAATTATGGGGATTTCAATTAAAAAAAGCTAAACATCTGATAAAAACAATTTTAAATCTTTTTAATGAAAAGTCAAATATAGATAATGACAGTTAAAAAACACCTGATAACGTCATTAATTTAATAAGATGTATTTTAATGCCATGATATGGTGCATTGTTAAACAAAATTATGTCATTAATTTAATGAGTATGTATTTTAATGATAGGATATAGTGTATTATTAAATTAATGAACGTGTATTTTAATGATAGGATATAGTGTATTGTTAAATAAAATAATATCATTAATTTAATGAGCATGTATTTTAGTGATAGGATATAGTGTTTTTTTTTTTTTTTTTGATAAAGGGAAATTTCATTACTAAAAGGAATGAAATACAAACTCGACATAAAATCGCAAATGACCCCGAATACAATGGAATTCGACCCGAACAACTGGACCCACCAGTAAAAACAATGATAACACAAGGGTGAATACTAATGCTGATACCTAAAGGAGAAATGCACGATCGACAGATAAATTCGAGCATGGTTGATGCTCGTTGAAAAAGACAAAACAGTCGATGGATTAACCCATTCGAGTGAGACCAAACCCCTCGTATAGGGGACATCTACACAGCGTAAGGAAATTCCTAACCAGACTAAACAACCCAAACTCACAATGATCTACTCGACCGGGTAGGGGTCATAATCGACACTGGGAGGTGTTAAAACCACCACTTCTTTTATTATCAACACACCAAAACTAAAAACAAACACATAACATAAAATCAACACTAAATACAACTCCAGAGCACGGCCACCACATCTAAGCACGTGTCTGAGACCCCTCAACGCCAGCCACCATGAAGCCTCAACCACCCAACTACGTTCACCTGCCCATCGAAACTCATCAATGGCTCCAACTTGGCCATCCCCACAGCGAGACGGACGACAGCCAAAACTGCCCAAACCGCGGCAGATCCAAGCATATCCGAGCACCATCCGACCGCTCTTTCCTACCACAATCCAACCCAGCCCGATCCGAGAGCAGACCGACAGCATAGAAAATCCCTCTCCTAGTTGTGCATCCATTCTTTGATTCCAGCCAAGCTCCACTCCCTTGGCGGCACAAATCCTAGCACAACGTAGATCGGCCAGCAACAGCCTCCAGACAAAGATAGGAGGCCAGCAAACAGGCGATGCACCGTCCTACCAGCTCCAAGAACTTCCCTCTCATTGCTTTTCTCTCGCTTGTTCTCTCTTTTATTTCTCTCCCTCTATCTGTACATATTATTTTTCCTTAAGCATTTTATTTGAATTTACTGTAACAGATCATCTCTTTGATAGGATATAGTGTATTGTTAAATAAAATAATTTAAACTTTCATTAATGAGCAATATCACATTTAAGTGGGAAATTAATATCATTTAAAGGTGAGAAAAGTAATTGCATAATGCATTATTTAAATATCATTATATATACAATTAGGTCATGTATAAAAATATTCTCAAACGTAGGCTATATTTCAATTACAGAAGTGTAATTTGGTCATATGTCTTATTAACCTTTCCTTTTTAAGCCCTAGCTTTAATTAAACCCAACCCTCATACATACAAGGCCAACCCAATTAGTTTACCTAGGCTGAAAAAGCACATAGTCACGTACATAGTAGCCTTAGCCTAACTTTTTTTTTTTTGTGTTGCTTTTCTCTCCTTTTGGCGTTCTCTTCTTATTCTCTCTCTCCTTCAATAAACCAGACGGCTGCCACTTCTGTCTTCTCCTTTGCCACCACTATCGTCGTTCTCTATCCTCGACTGCCATAGGCTTCCTTTTTCTCCTCTTCTTCTTCTTTGTCAAAGCAACATCGGTGACCGACTGAACTGAAGATTTCTGACCACCGAAGTTTCGGTTCCTCCTTTCATTTGGCTCGGTCTCGGTTTTCGTTTTTTTGAGAAACCAATATGTTGATCGGTGACCGAACCGACAAAAATCGTCGGTCAATGACTGATGAACAGCCCTAATTCCAAGTGCATTTTGAAAAGGCCTATTCTAGATAATTGCCTCATTATCTCTCAATTTTATATAGAAAAATTTGGTAGATAGACACACTATTTGAATGCATTATTTTGAAATTTTTATCTTTTATTTTTGATTAATACTCTTTTACTAATATAGTTCTTTGACTAAAACATCACTATAACAGAAAGCTTATTTGAGACGATTACGTGACGTCGCAAATAACTATATTGTAGTCAGAAATATTATATTTGCAACGACGTATCGTCGTAAATTAGTCGTCGTAAAAAACTAGATGCAAATAATATATTTGCGACGACAGAGTTTTGAAATATCGTTGCTAATACATATTTGCGATGACGTGTGAATTTTTAGCGACGACAATATTTTCCTATTATACGAAATGTATTTCGTCGCAAATAAGTAAATATTTGTGATGAGAAACGTCATCGCAAATTGGCCAAATTGTAGTAGTGGATATTAATCAAGAGTAAGAAGTAAAAATTTAAAACCCATACATTTAAGAGATATTTGTCTCTTTTTCTTTTTATATATTTTGTCATATACCGTGTGCCGGTCACAATTACTCCACAATAATTTGCAATTTCAAATTTTTGATACAGACAGCCGGATGGGATAAAATCCAGAAATTCCTCCCAAATTGCCACACCCCAGCTGAACCCCTGTGCAACAAGATCAAACGGGCTTATGCAATAATTAGAATTATACACAAACTTTCAGTGCATAAAAGGCAATAAGTTTAAAGAAGTAATTTGGTTTGAACCCGTTTTGACGTTGTTAATTTAAAAATAAATGATTAAACGTAAGCTCCTACCTCATTCTGATCTAGTATTTTGTTTTTGTTTTGTTTTGTTTTTTATTTTTATTTTTATTTTTTAGGAAGTTGGTATTTTGTATTTTTGAATAAAGCATTTGATTGTAATGTATTGTCCTTACTCCTTAGATACTGCAGGGGAAAATAAATAAATTAAAATATATAAAGCCATTCATGACTTAGGCGGGACAGGAGATACAGAGCAATATCATACATAAATCAACTCCGCTTAAATTTAACTTGAGAATTGAGATTATACGTCTTTTTCAAGTGATTAATGTGATTATAATCGTCCAAGCGATAATTGACAAAACACATAAAAGTAAGAGATATAATGACGAAATCAACAGAGACTTTTGGATGCAAATATATATACCTGAGCTTATGCTAGCTCAATCATAAATTTGTTAACCAAGGGAAATGAAGGGCAACTTTATGTTGTAATTTTCAGTTTCCTTTGTCGCATATGAAACGTGATCAATTAGTCGTCAACGCCTGACTTAAAAGGAAACATGAAAAGTGCAAATGGTTGAATACAAAATATATATAATATGGATTTACTAATTATCGTTTTCTCGATCTTTTCCTTTCAGGTAGCGTGAGCCTTTTGATTTAGTCTTTATAAACATATAAGTATAAGTAATTGTGACTGTCACAGACTCGAAACCAAAATAAAGTTTACAGTCTTTGTCAAGATATATTTTGCCGGCCATGGAACATTTTTTTTTTTTCCTAATTAGAGCAAAATATAAACTATAAAATTAACTATATATCTAAGTACGATTCAGCTATTCTTACGAAGTATACCCGAAAATAACAACAGCAGTTAATATTGAGATCATTATGGGATCTCTAGCAGAGCAAAAAATTCCTGTTATAAATTTTAAGGAAGAACATTTGAAGCCTGGATCTGATTCATGGATTTCGGCGCTCAAACAAGTCCGATACGGATTCGAAGAGTATGGCTGTTTGGAAATTGTTTGTGACCAATTTCCTTTTGAACTTCATAACTCAATATTTGATGCAGCTGAAGATGTTTTTAATCTTCCAAAAGAAACCAAAATGCAGAAAACAAGTACTAGACCTGGCAAAATTGGCTATATTGCAGGACTTCCTGAACTTCCTCTCTATGAGTCTATCGCACTTGATAGTGCAACAACTCTAGAAGAAGTTGAATATTTTACTAATATTATGTGGCCTGCAGGGAACAATTCTTTCCGGTATATACATATAAATATATATATATATATACACACACACACACACACACACACACACACACACACACACTTATATTTATATCAATATTGCATGCATGCTTGTTGTTCTATGTACCCGTTAATTCTGTGAAAAGTGCAAAATATTATTGGTTTTCGATGGTTCTTTTAGAAATCTCTCCAAGAGGTTTTAGATTTTATTTTTTGTTTTTATTGTCTCTTTCTAATTTTGGCTGAGATGTTCTAAGCTACTCCGGTTATATTCTGTAAGATTCACAAAAATAAAAACTTTATAGTAGTAGAAATAAAAATAAAGGCTTTTCGGCGGGTGAATAAAGTTTTGCTAGGCAAGCACTCTCTCTCTCTCTCTTTTTTATTTTTTATTTTTTATTTTTTATTTTTTATAATATAATCTGTACTGTGGATCTTAGACTTGACCTGAAAGTCTCTAATTGTTATTAAATAATTTACGTATCACTTTTCATTGTTTTAATTAGAACATAAAATATAATCACGGCCTCTAACATGTTTTCTTCTATATAAAATATGTCTCAATTTAGTGATTCTGTGCACTCCTTCTCAAAGAGGATAGAAGTACTTCACGAAATGGTAACAAGAATGGTGTTTGAGAACTATGGTGTGGAGGGGCTTTTTAACTCGTTTTGGGAGAAAAGATTTTACGTGTGCCGTTTCTTCAAATACAAAGCACCTCATCAGACCAATGAGAGTGAAGTTGGAATAGGTGCTCACACAGATTCTACCTTCTTATCCATACTTCATCAACATCAAGTCAAAGGTCTGCAGATCAAGACAAAGGATGGTCAGTGGATTGATGTCAAACCCAAACCTTCATCTCTTTTTGTCATTGCAGGCGACGTACTCAAGGTACATTTATATATATATATATATATATATTTAGGATTAGTGATCAAAATCAAGTTTGAGCTTCATATATATATGGATATATATATGTATAATTTAAGCAATAATAATTATTATTATAGGTATAGGAGGGTTTAAGCTTGTTACTCAAATTCTCTTTTAATTCATTGCTTACAATTCAAAACCTGCTATTTATTGATTTAGTTCAATGATCAGGATATACTTTTTAAAAAAGTAAAAATAAAATAAAAATAAACTAATGAGAACGGACAACTAATATCAAAGCAGAAATTCGAATGCCAATTAGGTTTGTACCGAACAACTACTCATCTCTCGTGACTAAACCCATTACTCCTTTTATTAATACAATAAATACAAAAAAAAAAATCCTCGAAAAAAAACAAGAAAATATAACCCCAAGGAAAAAAAAATACATTGAGGATGTACTTATATAATAGTGTATCATTGTGCACTTAATATATAATGTAATATGATCTTTTATTGTTCTAGGTATGGAGTAACGACAGAGTTCGTTCTTGTGAGCATCAAGTGATGGTGTCAGAAGACAAAATCAGGTATTCCGCTGGATTATTTACATTCATCAAGGGGGTGATGCAGGTTCCCGAGGAGCTGATCGACGATGAATATCCATTACGTTATAAACCATTTGATCATGCTGAATACAATCGTTACTTACTGTCAGAAGATAGAGATAAAAACTGTCCTATTAATGCCTTCTGTGGTATTTGAGATGTGTGTTGATCAAGACGCTTCTGTTCTCTTATGCAATAACAGTACTAGTGTGTTAATAAAATTGGCCACGCCTTCAGTACCGTGGAAAAATAAAATACGTAGCTATACCAGCTACGTACGTACTTGCTTGATTGATTGTGTGAAGAAATTGAAACTCATGAGATAGCTTCATCTAGTTCTGTCTCAAGAGTTTATGTTTCAAAACTCCATGTGGAGGTTTTAAGTCTCTAATTGCTGGTTTGCAGTGTATTGAATGGAGTGCAATTTCCCTTTCAAATACATATATCTTAACGTTTACGAGCTGAAGATGGACTTTCGTAAAAATCATGGGTATATTCTTTCCATACGTTTTGAGGCAAAATGTGAGTAAAGTCATCGATATTAAAAGGGGGAGTTCTTTTCATACTGTTCTTTAATAATATGTTTGTACTTCTTTAGCTCTTATGAAGCTTTCTTGGGGAATAATTTTCCTTTGACTAAATGTTTATGTAAAGTAGGTTTTACTACAAACCAAGAATCATCGATCGACATAGTAGCTAGAGTAAATAACAATAAAGCATTAAAAAATAATGTATATTAGTAATTAACAAACATATACGACCCAAAAAAAATTAAAACAAAAAACGAAAAGTAGTATTATTTATAACAAGATGATAACATGCATAGTTTTGTAGGTCCCTTTTTTTTTGTATGGACGGACTAAGACTTAAGCATCAAGTGGGAATAATGGTGATTAATATTGAAAGAGAAAAAGGAAATTGTACAAGTCTTGAATGTATTTGGCGTCCAATTCATCTCTTGTGAGAGTTATCTTGAATCTTCCACAAATCACGTTGTTGGAACAACGCGTGCTAGACGAGATACCTAGATGATGATGATGAACTACTCATTATTACTCTATGATGTGAAGAAGAAATAATGTAATATTTTTGATGAGACGCAAAATTTGCATGGTGGTGTTGGAAATTAATAGGGGAATTGATTCACCCTAATGGAGGTGGTTTGGGCAATTCTGATTTGAGGGTAGTTGCTCTTTTATTAATTATTTTATTTTGACTTTCTTGATTTATTTTTGTATGTTTACTTCCCGGATTTTTTATTTTCATTTTCCATAGAAAGATTTTTCTGCCATATTAAGACTCTGCCACGCAAACAAATAAGTTCAATAGGGGGAATGGGTAATATAGCAACTTTTATACATGCATTTAAAGTTTATAGCACATTTCTTAAAAATTGGTAAATTATAGTACATTCTAAATTTTCCAGAGAAAATAAATTTTCTTTTCCATATTTACCCATAAAAGCAATATTCGCATTAAGACTCAAAATTATGTTAACACGTCTTGAATTGATCAAAATACATGATTAAATAAATCTTTCAAATCGTGTCTGACTTCATTAAGATCATGGCTTGTGCCATGTCTTTGTATGCGTTAACCAAAAATATCGTATAGTTATACATATGCACATGTAATATGATTCGTACAGATATATATATATATATATATACACACGATTGATCAATTATACTCGTGATTTACATTAGGAATTATTTCGGACCGATCTATATTAAGCTAGGGATTATCCTCCAGCATTGCACGTCCAATTTTAATATAGATTGATCAACTACTATACATGTGATTACTCAAAGAGGATGGTGGTAATAGGACTCTTTTTGTAACTAATGATGGGAACAATATTCTTTTTTGTTTTAGGTAAATATAAGTATAAATTCAGTTCGAATTACTTACAACGTCCAATAGTTTTATCAGTTGTTGTGAATCTGTATGCAATGTACAAAGTATCAACGCATTCAAACTCATAATTAAAGAAACAATTATGATAATAGAATGGAAATCAGAACTTAAGACACAAAATCTTAACTTAAATATTCATTATAATATTGTTTATTTGCTAGAAAACCAAACATGAAAAACTTTCAATTAGGCACCCCTAGCTACCTCTGGAAAATTCCAAAAAAAAAAAAAAAAGAAAAAAAGAAAAAACAAAGCAAAAGCAAAAGCAAAAGCAAATGATAGATATAGCTTATGACAAACTATAGTATTTGGTAATTGTTTGCCATCTTCATTTAGGTAATAAGTTTAAAAGCATCCTTATCCAAGTTTCGTTTGCATGACCTTTCATCAAAGCATGACCTTCCATCAAAGCGAGACCTTCCATCAAAGCGAGAATAGTGCTCAAGCTAAAAAAAAAAGACGCGGGTTTCGAACCGAATATCCACCAAAAGAAAAGAAAAAAGAAAACGCATGTAAAAAAGAAGAATGAAATTAAGAACCCGTTTGGTTCATGATTTAAAATCATGAGATTAAAACCATTTTCGATTTACGTGTGTTTTTTATGAAAGAAAATACTGTAGTGAACCATGAATTATGATTCGAATAAGAGAACGAATCCTCCAACTAAACGGGACTTAAAAGTTTTTACTCGACGCGGGTTTCGAACCGAATATCCACCAAAAGAAAAGAAAAAAGAAAACTCATGTAAAAAAGAAGAATGAAATTAAAAGTTTTTACTCTCTGCGATAACTCGGAAACACAGATACCCCTCGCTCCAGTAGAACGCCAATTTTGAACACGAACGTTGGACCCTGAAATCCTCAAAGAATCTGTCCCCAGAAATTGTGGTGCCGGTGATGCGATCTCTCCACGGGACGAGCATGAGAGCATGAGGGTTATAAACAGCTCGTTTCACGTTCATGTCATAGTACTGTTGTCTTTCGATACTATGTAAAATCACACGCACCATTTGGTCAGTCTGCAAGTTCTCTTCAGTGGCATCATTCAGTTTAGAGATGAACAAGCTACGTTTCCTTGCTACACTCTCAGGTATTGCAATGTAATTGGCGTCCACTTCATCTCTTGTGAGAGTTATCTTGAATTGCCACATTTCGTCGTTTCCACAAATCACGTTGTTGGAACAACGCGTGCTAGACGAAGACCTAGATGATGACGATGAACTACTGATCATTATTACTATATGATGTGAAGAAGAAATAATGTAATATTTTTTATGAGACGCAAAATTTGCATGGTGGTGTTGGAAATTTATAGGGGAATTGATTCACCCTAATGGAGATACTTTGGGCAATTTTGATTTGAGGGTAGTTGCTCTTTTATAAATTATTTTATTTTGACTTTCTTGATTTATTTTCGCATGTTTACTTCTCGGATTTTTTTTTTTTTTGCATTTTGCATGGACAGATTTTTCTGCCATATTAAGACTCTGCCATGCAAATAAATAACTTCAACAGGGGGAATGGGTAATATAGCAACTTTTATACATGCATTTAAAGTTTATAGAACATTTCTTAAAAATTGGTAAATTATAGCACATTCTAAATTTTCCAGAGAGAAAATAAATTTTCGTTTCCATATTTACACCAAAAAAAGCAATATTCGCATTAAGACTCAAAATTATATATGTTAACACGTCTTGAATTGATCAAAATACATTATTAAATAAATCTTTCAAATAATATCTGACTTCATTAAGATCATGGCTGGGGCCATGTCTTTGTATGCGTTAACCAAAAATATCGTATAGTTATACATATGCACATGTGATATGATTCATACATATATATATACAGGATTGATCAATTATACTCGTGATTCACATTAGGAATTATTTCGGACCGATCTATATTAAGCTAGGGATTATCCTCCAGCATTGCACGTCCAATTTTAATATAGATTGATCAACTAGTATAGTTTTTGTTGGTTTCTCAAACCGGATTTTCAAAAAAAAATTGTGCGGAAGCGTGGTATCGATCGAATCACATAAATCAAAATTTAATGAGATTATTATTTCATGTTAATTTAACTATAAAGATATTAAAGAGAAGAAGGAGAATTTTACCGTCCCTTGATTAGGACGGAAATCTTGAACTCCTCCAACACCGTCTTGACCTCTTCAATTTCAAGAACATCACGATTCTTTCTCAACGTATCTCCAGATTAACGTGAACTCAAACGTGTGGGCGTTCTAATGGGTTTCTCAACACATGAAATGGATGAATAGGGAATTTTATTCTCACAGTTTTCTCTTTTTCTGTTTTTTGGAAAAAACTTTCGTTTTTTTTTTCTCAAGGAAAAACTTTTTCACCACCGAAGAACTAATTCCTCTAGCTCTATATCTCAATGTGCAGCCACACATCCTCCTTATGAGGAAACGTGCAACAGCACCTTTCCT